GATTCTAACAATACGACGTAATGAGGCGAGTCAAGACGCGTCTCGGAGAGAGAATAACCCGATAAGTTACCCTCTTTAAATGACTAGTCAAATGACTGAGTTCGATAGCGAGGTATAAGGTACATTTATATTGACAGTCACATGAAATAATGAATGAATGAGAGAGAAATATGCTAAAAGAAAGAACAATTTTGCACAGGCTGGCTGCGTGATAATAGATGCAAGAGATGTGTGTTGGAATTGTTAAACAGTTTTAAAAAATATATTAAAAGTCATACGTCAGAAGAGAAATACAATTTTTAATATTTTAGCTTTAAGAAACGTGATTTTTATTGAAGATGAAATTAAAATCTTCTGATTAACACATCTATCTCTGTCTCTTTATTTCATCTGGCGCTTAATCTGACATATTTGCATTCTGATTTTAATCTGATATTAATATTTTATAACACAATTGAAAAATAGAGAAATAATATTTTTTACCTTTCTTTCCGTGTAAATCAAAGAGAACATTTAACTGCAAGTCGAGATAAACGAGTGACGACAGTTGCTGTTTATTGCCTGTCAACTCGAATGTGTTAACACACGCGGATTACGCGTACATGTCGGACGGGCTTTCGAGATTCTCTTTCGAAGTTTCGCCCTTCCGACGACTTAAATCCCACTCTCGAAACATTATCTAGGGCAGCTCGTACACTGGCAAATTATTTCTTTAATTATCTCTTTTCGCATGAAATATTTTAGTTTATTGTTTAAATAAATTGCTGTAACTAATCAATAATTCTACGAAACCCATTCCAATTAAAATAAAAATCGTATTTCACTCGAGGTATATTTTTGATAAATAATATTTTTTAATATTCATTTATATTATTTTTATATATCTCTCTCTTTCCTTCTCTTCTATTACAATCGCGAAATTATTGATCGAAGAGATATTGATTTCGTAAGACGTTATATTTATAGAATAATTCTCTCAAAACATTATCTAGAGCAGCTCGTATAATGATAAATTTTTCCTTTAATTATCTCTTTTCGCATAAAATACTTATAGCTTATCGTTTAAATAAATTGTTGTGATTAATGAAGAATTCTACGAAATCGATTCTAATAAAAAGGAATAAAAATCTCGGTATATTTTTGACAAATAAAATTATCATACGTATTTATATTATTTATGTATCTCTCTCCTTCTCTTCGGAACAGGCTTTAAGTTAATCATCTCGACCTACTTTCCGAGACTTTCACGTTCGTTAAAAAATCAGGTCGCCCCGACGAAACTGTCGGAGATCAAGCTGGACAAAAGCTGGAAGTTGAGAACTGGAAAAGGGAGGATGAGGCACCAGGCGTGTGCGCGCGCGCTCGCCCTGATAACGCACTTCCCATTGACAAGTCGCTTTGTGAACTCGGCTCACTCTCGAAACCGGATGTCCATGTGATCTCATATGCAGATATCCGCTCTGCCTATCCTTCCTCCTCGAAATTTCTGCGCTATATTCGAGCACGTGCAACGTGTCTCTCGTGACGGTATCTCGTTTCTTTTCCTCCTCCTTCTCTTTCTCGCCATCTTTCGTACACATCCAACTTGATCTTTATACTCTCAACAGCTTTAAAAATCCAAAATAATCTCCGGTAATTTAATATCCTTAATCCATCCGGGATATAAACAATAAAAAGGATATATATCTTATAATAAAAGCTAAAAGAGGATTTCTTATATACTCTCGAGCTACGCTTCTGGAATTTTGATTATTACGTCAGCGTGAGTGCCAGCTCGTGCCAATTTCACCAAAGCATGCCGCAATGATGACTTTCTTCAGGAAAAGAAGACATCGGCATCCGGCACATCCGCTGCATCCCATTTACGAATATGTTCGATTTGACCGTGTCATAGCGGACTTCGTCTTTCGTTCATACACACACACACACACCCACACTACGTACATGAATACATGCGCATGCGACTATTCAATCAATATCGGGCCTTTAAAAGGCATCTTGAGTCATTTTTGTATCGGGCATACCCATAAATGGGAAGCGACAGCACCTCCCGTCCATCACCATAAAAATGCTTGTTTCAAGCACTGTTATTATATTTTGACTTATGAATATATTATCGAAAAATATATATTTTACCAAGTTTTCATGAGACACGACATTTTGCCCGCGCATCCAATTATATTTATCCGAATTAAATATTACATAATCTATTATTCTTTTTTTTTAAATCTATTTTTGGAGTTGTTTTTCCATGATTATACCTTAAATCTCATACTATTTTCTAATATTATATATTATGGTTATTTTTGCGATGTATAATAAAGTATCGCTTTTATAACGTGGCTTTTGACACGGCATAAGAAAAAACTGTGCGAGTATAATTGCCAATCTCCCTATTCTCGGCTGTTATAGCGTTTATGATCGGACACGTTTCTTACATCTTACGCAAGAGGTTAACCGATAACGACGCTCGTTTTGAACGCAAGTTACGCGTGTATATTACGCATTTATGCGTAGCGTATGCGTGATCAGCATTGGCGTCTGATCAGACTAAAAAATTGCGTATTGCGTTCTAACATAATACAGTCCCGCTTTATTTCAGTCAATCCAGAACTATTTATCTTGACGATATAATAAATCTTGAGTTTTTCGATTAAATGTAAAAGTATTTTATACAAATTATTTATTTATTTTTTAATTATTTTAATAGTATATATTTTTTAGTAATTCACATGTGTTATTTGATATATGTATTGATATTTTTGAAATTCAATTCAAATCTTTTAGTTAAATAAATTTTCCGGTATCAAATGAAAGATTTTATAATTAATTTATATTTGAAATATTTGCTAAAAAAAGGATCGAAGATAAACGATATATTTATAACTATATATTATTATAATATTATTTTATTACATATGTAATGGAGATTTATACTCTTCTTCTTGTACATTATTCTTTAGTTTACTAATTATTAGTTTATAATTTGTAATCAATTTAATGAAACAGAACAATATTGTCTATAATTATAATTAACATTCTATTTTGCTGGCGCTTGGATAACTGATACAAGGATATTATACGCGCTTAAAAGCGATAAGCAATATCGCCCGATGATAAGTATGTAAAGAGCAAAAACAGAAGAAGTTGTCGACGCCGGCAAAGTTTGAAAGAAATATCAAGAAAATTGTATCATTAAAACGTGACGCAAAATATATTACAACGCACGATTACATTTTTGCAAACATGCAAACAATATTTGTAAACTATCGTATTTATAAGTTATCAGATACGTTATATAATAAAGAAAAATAATATGTTTATCACTTTCTTAAAGTTTATTTATCGATAACCATTGCTGCAATGTTTTTTACACAATTAAAAGCAATAACATCTTTTAACAATTAAAAACAATAACATCTTTTAGCAAGAGCAATAAAATCCAGTTTCTATTTTTACTATAGTATTTTTTATAACTAAATAAATACAAAATTTTAAAATTTTATTTTATAATAAAATAATTAAACACGAAAAATTTGTCAAAATTTAATTTTTATTATTTTACACGGCATAAAATTTTTCCAATTACATTTTGTTTGATAAAATTTTTTCGTTCATCGTCATTGAAAGTATTGAATATTTGCGACAAGTCTTTGCAACGAGATCTTTGTCAAGAGATTCGAGTAAAATCCTAAACTTTCTCTCGATGACTGCTAAAAGAGGACAAGTAATATTGTTGTAGCACATGAAACAACCGCGCGAAATGTTTAGCGCAAATATATGTATGAAATAACACCGCGAAAAAAATTGACGAGGAGATGTAAAACCTGTTTAGCATCCATTACAAACGTAAAAGTCTTTTTATGTGGATATAAGTTTCGCTTTTTTAGTCAACTTTTTCGCTTTCCAGGATTTTATGCGAATTGGAATACAACATTTATTTTACTTATCTATTTTTATATATGTATTATATACACATTTCTCTTTCTCTTGATTGTTTTTTTTCAAAATAATTTATATTGTTCAATATCTTTAATTAGTATAATATATTGTCATATTCCATTATATATTAATATATACGTTCAATTAATTTTATCTGTATCGAAAAATGCTCATATGAATTTTCGTCAAGCGTCAAAATTTTACGACCAATTTCCTGTTTGGAATTTTACATTTAAGAGTTTTCCTCAAGAAATAATTCTCGGTTCACGTTACGAGATAAAAGATGCATCGTGAGATATGCAAACAACGAGGAGAGAAAATGCCTGGACGCATCATTAATTAGGCGAGAACGTGTCAATGTAATTGCGTCGCCGCCCTTTAACCAGCGCGAATTAAGCGTGATGATGCGCGCTTATGTATGTTTTATGCGCGGCTCTTCTACACGTGTGTTTACACGCACTTGGTACTTTTATGATCCCGACATTTGCAAAGAGCGCGAATGCAGTCACGCTCCTCGAATTGCAACAGCAGTGTCGCGCGACTCGAATAACCTTCTTTCGAATCAAGGATATGCGATGCAATCGTCACTGCAATTGCAATGATGTACTCGCCGCGAGATGTACTTGAACGCGGCGGCGACGGCTTTAATTATAATTGATCGCGTAGATAATAAAGAGATCGATTTCGCAGAAGAAGTTAACGAGAAGTCGGCTTTACAGAAGCTTGGTTTCGGTTAAACTCTACGTATAAATATTCACGATAAAATTGATAAAGCAAATTGCATTATGCTGTAAAATAAATTATAATTAATGAAACTTGTTTAAAGTTTCGCTGGATTTTTTGCATTAAATATTTAAATTAATGAACAAAATAAATCGCATTATTTGTGTGTGTATAATAGATAATCGAAATAATTCTTAATTTTATATTTTAATATGATAAACAATTTTCAATTAACGTTAATAATATATGATACATTAGCGATATATATTGGAATCTCGCGTTGGAAAAACTTGATAAAAATATTATACTTTGATTTCTCTGTTTCTTCTGTTTAGGGCGACGAGGGTTTACGAGGATCTGTGGGAGCTCCTGGATTTTCCGTACGTATATAAATTGTTTTATCGCCTTTCTCTTGAAACTAAATTAAAGTCCGCAACCAAAAAGGAAGAAAGAATTTTCTTCTTTTGTTAATAATTGAGTACTACACATTTTCACACTTTACTAGTTCTATTTATATTATACTATTAAAATTACATTTATATTATATTATTAGTGCATATTACAAGAGGTATGGTTTGCTCATAAAAAAACATGGGCCATTTTTTCATGATATAATTTAATAATTAGATTAATATTTAGTTAATCTCTAATACAAAAATTTTCTACATTTTATGATTTTGATTTTTTTTTATATAAAGAAAAAATAGGATCGTAGAATTTTTCTTGTGTTTTGGAAGCCCGATTTGACGAAGCTTCAATGTTCAAGCTTCATTATTTGTTCTCATGACGCGACACAATCATGTTTCCGAACACAAGAAAGAATTATTCAGTGGGATTATAGTAAACCTTCTTTAGGGTAATCCTGGTATACTCGGTGTACTTGGTCCGGACGGATTGGACGGATGCAACGGGACTGATGGCCGTGCCGGTGCCCCAGGTATACCGGGAATTTTCGGGCCACGTGGTAGTATAGGACTCTCGGGAGATTATGGTCCTCCAGGAGAGCCTGGCGATGGGGGTATCAATTCGGTCGGCGCCAAGGGTATTCGCGGACAACCCGGTATCGACGGACTGGAGGTAAGAGCGTTTTTAACATCGTACGTATGCGTTGTCGATTTATAATCGATTAATAAAATTATACTCTGACAATATTACATCATCCGGAAAAAAAAAAAAAAAAAAAAAAATGGATAATATCAAATTCGGTAATACATTTATTTTTATCCTGTGATATCAATTGACCGAGCTCTGAGCGCGCGCACATGCATCATTAAACTAAAATAAGTGAACAATTAAAGTATCGATTTAATTACATTGCCATATGTATAATTGCACAATTATGCAATGTATAATGGATGCAATTATCCTTGGTTACTCGCTATTAAATTTCGAAGCATTTATAATATTCGCACCCATTCGAATTAAATTATCGAGAAAGTTTCTCCATACATACTTAATTTTGGCAATTAAAATACATCATTTACATTAAAAGTGTCTGTAACAAATCGAACTTTTTAATTGAAATAATTCATTTCTTCATGAATATTATTAGAGGCAACATACATACATTACTTCTCATGGAATCATCCTAGATAAATAAATCCATTCGATCTTAACAGACACGTGATTACGTTTCCAGGGTTATCGAGGAGAACAGGGCTTCACCGGTGAAATGGGTTATCCAGGAGACACGGGCGACTTCGTAAGTAATAACAGGATCTCACACTATATATTCGGACGGTTGTTTAAGATACCGTAATACATCGGTCGATCGGTGCCGACTCGAGGGAGCCCGGTGAACTTTGCGCGAGCGCTTAGGTAGATCCCCGAAGGAGAGAGGATGAGGAAGGTGACGAAGGGAACGAGAGAAGAACCCGCTCGGGGAACGTTTCTCGTTCCTCTTTTTGCGAGATGCCACCTGCTAGTATTCCCCGGCAATATTTAACTGGTATTGGGTAAAGAGACGGAAAAGAATCTCAAGCGCCGCGCGATATCGCGTGATAAGCACTGCTCCGAGGGATCCTCTTACACATGTTGCTGCGGGTTAAAAGCTTACCTTTGAAGTCGCGAGCGCGTGTAAGGTTTACGTGATGCCGATCGAATTGGATGTTCACGTTACGGTAATAACACTTGTGTCCCAAAGATAGCGAAATTGTTTTTTTTTTTTATTTTTTATTTTTTTTATTTTTTTTTTTTTAAGTATTAATTGAGGAATAAAACAGTAGTGACTCGTAGATTTGAAATCATTTATCGCTCTTATGGATTATTTTTTATAATTGAACAGAAAATATAAATAATTTATTTAAAAAGAATATTATATATGATAAGTTTACAATTTAGGGAAATAAGTCGTGTTATCTTTCTCAAAGTGTAATATAGTGATATATGATCTGTACATATCGTCGAGATATTTCGCTCGTGGCAAAAGTAGACGACGAAACTTTACGAGATTCTTAAGGCGCACAGTATAAGACACGATGGTCTCTCGGAAAGTCATCCGCGCTACTTGTGTATATTCCGCGATATTCCAGCTTTGGGGCCCGTAAAGTTGAATTTACACGCGTATTCCATGATGAAAATAAATAAATAAATAAATGATAAATTAAATATATAATAAATAACAAGAAATTTTTTATTTATTGGTTGTTAATTCGTTCCTTCTAAGAAAATTATTTAGCTTATTTATTTTTTACATATATAAAAGAAATATCTTTTTATCCTAATTTTATTATTTTTTTTTTTTTAATATTTATTATATACAGGGTGTCAATCAATAACAGATGACAGAGATCGGTATGCATGCATATGTAGTTACGAATCTGAGCGCGCGAGCTCTACGCGATATCATTGGCAAACTTTGATCGTTTATAACTCAAAAACTATTGCAGCCTCAAAATTTTTGTATTAGAATTTTTGACTCTATTTTATCTCTAGAATACACTATTAAAGTATTGTGCGGAGATTGTGAGACACCCTGTATAATAATGGGAATACTGTTGAAATGTCAAACGATACGTCTTCTCATCGCATTTTTGCAACGCATATGTGACTTTGTTTGTAGCAGCTTTCGAGAGCGATATTAAAAACGAGAGACTAAAAAGAGTAAAAGAAAGAAAGTATTAAAATATGCGAGTGCTTCGCACTTTAATCATTAAATACGAAACGATCCGTTGAAATCCGAAGCGTCGCGCCCGTTGCCGGCCGCTATCTGCTGACACGACTGTCGCTGATAGCTGTCTCCTCGCATGCGAGATGACGAAGAGGAAAGATCCTATCCGCCGACGAACGCAACGCGGCTTCCGAGAAACCCGACGAACCTCTCTCTGGTTCTCCTTCTTGTTGACCCCCGGCAAAAAATCGGCAAAAGCTCGCACCGTCATGGAAGACAATCGATTACCGAAAACCGGTTCCCTCATTAACGGTAATCGCACAAGTAATTTTTTAATGGCGGTGGCACGAACTTTTCGAGTCGGCACCTTTCTTCCGAATAAACGAAGAGCGAATTCGACAAATTTACGCTAACGAATCTATCATGATAAAGGAAGACCGAATGAATCGTTAACATCAATTTCGATTTTATTCCTTATTTTTTATTCAATAAAGATTCGTACAATGGACAAATTTTCGAACGATTTATGACAATACGGATTATTACAACTATGCATATTGTAATTAAGAAAGATGATCAAAAAAGGAAAAAATATTCCGATCATAAAATGTCATCTCAAAATTTTTTGATATTAAAATATTATATTATAATGTAAGACAAAATGTTTTAATTTTTATTATAATTGTAACGATAATAATTGAAAAATACGCACACATAATTCCAAGTTTCCAAATAGATATATTTGTGTATTAATGAGAGCGAGATGTGTCAAATGCCTCTTACCGATCAAAATAGTCTCGCAAGGTATATGTGTGCACAGACATTTCGCTCCGGGATTAAAAATAAACAGGGATGGACCAGGACGTGCATTTAAATTAGCATTATAATGGATTCATAATACATGCACTTACGCTCTGCCACGCTAGATATAACTTAAATGTAATTCGTATGCAACATATAGTTAGACCTACGTCAAGGTATACCGGGTGTCTCGAATGTATATTATGTATTATATTGGTCGACTATAGATCCTTCGATGAATTTAGGCTTGATTAATTAATCTGAAAATGATAGCAAAAATGGAAAGTGATAACTTCAAAACACTTTGACGTACAGAATGCTAATTTATTAAGGAGGACAATACTTGACGTATTCGAGGATATACTTTTATTTTAAACAATATCAATGTTAAAATGTAATTCTCTTAAAATAAAGCTGTAATAATAATATTTTTACTAATATAATTTCTCTCTCTCATAAAATAAACGAATTGTATTAATAAAGCAAATATCTATGTTCCCTTTTTAGGGTTTACCAGGTGCCCCTGGATTGCCAGGTATGCAAGGTGACCGCGGTGACACTGTTTACGGTGTAAAGGGTCAACTTGGCGAACAAGGAGACAGGGGAGAGCCTGGTTCACCGGGTAAGGACGAATACAAAAAGAAGGAGAAATCAACGCCCGTGAAAGGCCCGCAAGGACCGAAGGGCATGAAGGGCGACTACGGCGATCGAGGTCACAAGGGAGAGTTGGGTACCAAAGGTCCACAGGTGATTATGCCATGCCAGATGTGATCATAAAAGTCAATATATTTGGTATCCAAAAATTGTGTTTTCAATAAAAATTATTAAAAAAATATATTAATGAAAAAAAATGAAAAATTATATTGGTAATATAAAACATGCGATTGCGTTTCAGAAGAAACGTTTTAGTTAAATATTGTGACATTTAAATAAAATGCAATTTTCTGACATAGGGCCGACCAGGTTTCTTGGGCATCAAAGGTGTGAAGGGCGAGCAGGGTGACGATGGGCCAAGAGGTAAACAGGGTGTCGAAGGCCCACCAGGACCGGCTGGTGAGAAGGGAGAAAAAGGAGCTCCAGGTTTCGCTGGTTTGCCTGGTCAGGATGGATCCGATGTGAGTGTATTACATACGTAAATGTATGACAAAAAATAATACACTATATTTGTAGCTGATACGAAGACTTTTACTAATCAGAATCAAATTGGTCAATGAACGTTTAAATAGAATTGGTGTAGTATTCAATGCACTGTTTATATAGATTATTTAATATACATTAGTACTGTATTATTATTGTCTTATTGCTGTAAAGGGTGAATTAGGAGAAGAAGGTAATCGCGGTCCACCTGGCAAGCAAGGTGCCGAAGGAGAACTTGGACGATATATTCCAGAACTTGATGAAATAATCGCCGGAAACATCGGAATTCAAGGAGATCTTGGTCAGTACAGGCATAATGTTTTTTTTCTGTTAAAAAAAATATTTCAGGATATATTATTGTTATTTATATTAGTGTAAAGATTATAATAAACAATTATTATTATATTTTTAAAAACTCAATATTATTAATGATATTATTATTTAATAATATTATTTCCCAAAAAGAATAGAGATCTATTCTTAGCTAAAAATAATCTCTTTGAACTTTGTTTTTTTACAGGTCCTCCTGGTGAATCGGGTCAAACAGGAACACCAGGTTTGCCAGGAAAAGTCGGTTTTATAGGACCACCAGGACCACCAGGACCGTCTGGTATTCCCGGTTTGTCGGGAGCGAAGGGTTCGTCCATAAAAGGAGAACAAGGAGATGATGGTAAATGATTATTGCATCTCTATGTCGATATAATGAACTGTTTTAGTACATAAAGAATATCATGAATAATTGATCACTTATGAATTATTCCAGGCTTACCGGGACCCATGGGACCTCAGGGACCTTCCGGACTACCCGGTTTATCCGGAATTATAGGAGCCAAAGGATTTCCAGGCGTAACGATAATTGGACCGCCGGGACCAGACGGCAGCCCAGGTTTTCCAGGATTGTCAGGTCCGCCTGGCGATCGCGGTGATCCTGGCCCTCCAGGTAAAATCAGAACTTATATTTATCAAAATCTGAAATAAATAATCGTAGAATTTTATAGATATCAAATTTATGTATATTAAGGATTCTATTCGCACACTCGAAATATTAAAAAAAAAATTAGAAATATAATACGCGAAAGCTTAAGTTTATTTCTATTGTCAAGTTTATTAATGTTATTCTATATACTTCATATATAAATCATTTTTATTTATTGTACTTGCTGAGCAGGAGAGAAAGGTTTTCCTGGGAAAGGTATAAGAATTCGTGGACCGCCTGGAGAACGAGGTCTGCCCGGAACGCCGGGTATTCCTGGTCCCGATGGCTGGCCTGGCTTATTCGGTTTTAAAGGTGACAAGGGTATTCGAGGAGATGACTGCGGTGTATGTGCACCAGGTAAGAAATAATTCATATTAGTAAAGAATTGTTCTTTTGCGCGAAAAAAAACATGTTTCAATGGATATATGTTAAAATATCCTTAAGAAAGTTATTTTTTTGTTAATCATTGCACAGGTCTACCCGGGTTGAAAGGAGAACGCGGTGAACCTGCCTTGGACGGATATCCTGGAGCTTCGGGATTTCCCGGATTACCTGGTCCTCGAGGATTCAAGGGAGTACAAGGGAAACGAGGTTCACCAGGACCGGCGGGACTTGAAGGTGATAGTGGAAGATCCGGTATTGCAGGAATACAAGGACCCAAAGGAGAACAGGGAACGATATTCTTCCCACCAGACGAGCAGCTTTTCAGCCCGCCGGGCGATGTTGGCGAGAAAGGCTTACCCGGCCCTGAAGGACTCAGAGGTCTGCGAGGACAACCGGGACCCATCGGTGACACAGGTGTACCGGGACCAAAAGGAGAAAAGGTTCATCTACCTTGCTAGCTATTTAAAAACAATAGGATTTATATTTTAGAATAATTTGGAAGTTTTTTTAATCGCTATTGAAAAAGTAATTAATTTTCTCATTTGCTCTAATCCGATGATATTATATAATTTATAGGGTGAACATGGTCACCCTGGATTATCTGGAAGGGATGGTTCGCCGGGATTCGACGATCGAGTATTTGCGAGGAGATCCGGGATATCCGGGAGAGCCGGGAGTCAAAGGAATACAAGGAGATAGCGGTACAAAGGGAGAGCCTGGCGAGGCCTCGGAATACGTCGCAGACAGTAAAGGTGACAAGGGCTATAAAGGTGTCATAGGAGACCGCGGTATGTTGAAACACTATTGATACAAATGATTATATTTTGTAGCTGCTTCTCAATTGTTTTAAAATTTTCTTCCGGAAATTGTATGATTACATTGATGTAATTTATACAAGTAGAATATAATGTGTAAATATGCAAATTTATATAAATTTTATATAAAATTTAATATATTACTTTTTAATGGAGGAGGAAGTTAAAACAGAATTAAAATATTCGCGATATTCTCGTAGGAGAGTCCGGTTTGAAAGGTTTCCCAGGACCTCTTGGCGACGAAGGTCTAATGGGATTACCTGGTGAATCCGGCCTCCCAGGTATTTCACGGCAAGGTCCTATCGGTTTAAAGGGATATCCCGGAATGCCGGGAGAGCAAGGACCTCGTGGCACACCAGGTTCACCTGGACCGCAAGGACCAACTGGTTTTCCAGTAAGTAAATTGAAGACATTCAATTTGTGTTTTCACAATTCAGTTATAAATCTATATATCTATATAAATAAAATTAATTATTTTATTTTATTTATTAAAATAATTTTATTATTATTAAGCGAAGAAAAATTCACATAAGCAAAATGATGCATCTATTTATTACAGGGTCGTATTGGCAATAAAGGTGAACGAGGAGATCCAGGCACAAATTTAACTTACGGCGAAATTGGAGAACGCGGCTGGTACGGTTCAAAAGGTGACTTTGGTGATCCTGGTCCTCAAGGATTGCGTGGCCGACCAGGAGAGGATGGTCCGAAGGGTGTCAGGGGTGCTAAAGGAGCTCCCGGTTATGAGGGACTGCCTGGACTTCAAGTAAGTACACACATTTTTCTTTATATATAGATTCTTATAAAGATTATTTTAAATTAATATTTATCATTTTAAATAATAGTCTTTTATTAAATATTTTTGGACGAATCATATTAAAATGATTTGATGGACATTCTAGGGAGCCAAAGGTCAACGTGGAGATAGTATACAAGGTGATCGAGGTTTTCCGGGTATGCTTGGCCAGCCTGGAATGCCCGGAAAAATCGGAGACATTGGTGTTCGTGGTAAGTCTTGAAAACTGCTCATGTAATTTAAAACAATCAAGTCATTTTGTATAGATATAATTTAGATGAAATAACATTAGATAATAAACCAGAAACCAAATTCCGCTTTCAATCCGATTCATTGCTATACGATTTTTCATTATATATAATAACTATATAGAATGCCTATAGAACTTATAAAATGACTTATTTTCAATAAGCTCTTCTTCACGTCATAAAGTTCAATCCTTAAAGTAAACTAAAATCTTAATACTACAATTTAAACTAAAATCTTAATACGCGTATCCATCTTTAGGTCCTGATGGTCCTTCTGGCTTCGACGGAATGAAGGGCTTGAAGGGAGAGGTCGGTTTTATTGGACGACGCGGTGACGATGGTGATACGGGACCTCAGGGATATCAAGGAATGTATGGAAGACAAGGTCTACCGGGCGCTCCAGGAGATAAGGGAGAAGTCGGCGAGATCGGCGAGCCGGGACCACTCGGCTGGCCTGGTTTTGATGGCATAGATGGAGCACCTGGTGTTAAAGGAGAATTGGGAGACGTCGGATTTCCCGGGGCACCAGGAGTGAGAGGGTTATCGGGTCCCAAGGGTATCATTGGCGACACTGGTCTCGAAGGACTATGGGGTGCTCCTGGCGAAAACTCTTTTAGTGGTCCTCAAGGTGATATCGGTGAACCTGGTTTTATGGGAGAAATTGGACCGCCTGGTCTACCTGGATTCGACGGACGGCCAGGATTACCGGGAGAACCGGGATTGTCAACTGAGGGTTTCAATGGCCTACCAGGACAGAAGGGTGACGCTGGACTCAACGGATACGACGGTGTCGTGGGACCAAAAGTAAGTGCATTTTATTGAAAAAGGAAGAAAATGCGCATTTTTAGGTTGTAATAATTATATGATTTGTGCATCTTATTTTTAAATATGTATTAATATTCAAAAAAATACATTGTAAAAACATTTTTATATTTATATTACTAATTGCTTAAATTATGTAACCATTTTTTGTTATTGCTTAAAATTTGTAATGGGAAACTCGAGATTAATTTTTTATTCTGATAAAAACCATGACAAAAATTCATTATCATAAAAATATATATGTTAATATTTATAATTTTACAGGGAGAAATTGGTGACATGGGTCCTGATGGCTTGAAAGGTGAACAAGGCAATCAAGGTTTCCCTGGAAGGCCAGGCTTGTCTGGAATACCCGGTAAATATGGCGTGAAAGGTGAAAGGGGTCCGATTGGACCTTCTGGATTCGATGGATTGAAAGGTAAACGAGGTCTCGATGGTGATCCGGGTATAATGGGCAGACCAGGTAAATAATCAGTTTCTGTATATCTTTAATTAAGTTAATTACACATTTTAATATCTTTATATTTTATAATATCTCTTCGGGTATAAGAGGTCCCCCAGGTATCTTGGGTGCTCCTGGATCGAAGGGTCAAGTGGGCGAACCTGGCTTACCGTCTTACGCATTCGCAGAGAAGGGTGATTTCGGTGACCGAGGTCACGATGGTTTCCCTGGTGTGAAAGGAGAACGGGGTGAAGCAGGATACATCGGAGTGCCCGGCCGTAAAGTGAGTAAACGAATTTTTATAATTGAATCAGATTACAAAAGAAATTACTTACTCGTCTATGTATATATAGGGTCAAATTGGAGACCGAGGATATCCGGGTCCCATTGGTTACCCAGGATTACCTGGTTTCGCTGGTCTGCCAGGTGATCAAGGACTTCGTGGAGCTCCAGGTATAAAAAAAATTTGTATTTAATTAATCAAGTTAAATATTGCAAACTCGTAAAGTATGATCTAAATTTATTCAAATTGCTTTTTTTTACATATCACATAGTTCGTTTATTTTCTTTTAATGCTCAGAGCTTCCAATCCTTTACACTCTCATTTTATTTTAATATTTTAGAAATTTTCATGCTTTATCGTCTTTCAAAAATTAAAATTAACAATAGGAGTATTATTCACAATTTGTGATAATTGTTTCAAAATTTCTTTCTTAATTTGAGAGAATTAATGTCTTAAAACATCTTGTTCCTATTCCAATGTACATATCGTTAGTGACATTCTATTTCAGTTAATATTATTTGTTTACTTTTTTGCCATAGGCTTGCCTGGTGAATTCGCCGAACCCGGTGAAATTGGTCGCGCTGGTCTGGATGGTATGCCTGGTATCCCAGGTCGTCCCGGACAAAAAGGAGCTCCCGGTGAATATGGTCCGAATGGACCTAAAGGAATCTCTGGTGATATAGGCTATAGCCTTCCAGGTCCTAAAGGAATTACGGGAGACCCAGGTATTTATCATTATTACATATTTAATCAACTTTTTTTTTAACATACTTAATCCAATAACAAAAAATATAAAGTTGATATTTTTGAATGCGATTAATGACCTCATTAAGGATTCATAACTATCAATAATACTTTAATTCAATTATCTTCTATAAAATATGATTATCTTTCTTTTGTAAAAAAAAAACATTTAATCTTTCTCTGAAAGAAATATTTAGATCTTTATAATTTATTACTTCATGTTTTGAATAGGTCCTAGAGGATTCGTCGGTTTTCCCGGCGCACCAGGTTTGGAAGGATTGCAAGGTTTCCCCGGGACACCAGGTCCGAAAGGTTTCCGTGGAGAGCCGGGAATATCTCCGAGTAGCACGAAAGGACAGCCCGGTGAACCTGGATGGCTTGGACTAGATGGTCGACCAGGACCAAAGGGTATAAGAGGCGATTCCGGTTTACCTGGCTTTGACGGATTATCAGGACCAAAAGGAGAAAGGGGAGAGACTGGTGAACCTGGTCTACGTGGATTGTCCGGTCCTGAAGGACCACAGGTAAGTTTCATGAATTTGCAATTAGATATAGTATATTTAAATATACTTGTTAAATTTCACGGAAGATTTTCGGAAAAATAATAATGGGAATTGTCTCATAGATTTCCTTTAATCTTAATTATTTTATATGTGATTAATATTATGTAATCAAAAAATAAGTGATAAATTATACAATAAGCATAAAGACCGAATATAAATTATTGGCTTAATTTATACCATACATTTTTTTAATATGCAAATCATAGTAATACGGATCAAACATTGACCTCAGCTGCGTTTAAATTAAAGTTGTTTATTTGCTATATTGAAAATATGGAAATCCAACAAAATTATTTGAAAATGCAATTAAGACAATTTATATTACATCATCAAATTAAGCCAAATATTAGCACTTAGTACGCGTATTAAAGAATCAATGCAGATTAAGCCATTATAAATGATTGTTTTTTCTGATAGGGGCCGAAAGGAGAACCTGGCCTAAATCCTTTCCCACCTTTCCCAAGAAAAGGACTCCCCGGTGATATAGGAGTTCCCGGATTACCAGGTACTGCACCTATACTTCCCTACAGTAAAATAATTATATTTAAATCATGGAGGAGTGCAGTAAAAGAGTGCTATATGGATATGTACAGGTTTCCCTGGACTACAGGGAATGATGGGTGAACCTGGCAAGGACGGTTTGCCTGGACGACAAGGTGAAAGAGGCATGATTGGTTTCGCTGGACCACAAGGACCGGATGGTAAAGATGGGCCTGTCGGATATCAAGGTCCCTCTGGAGCATCCGGACGACAAGGACAGCCAGGTATATACATATTTGACTATTTAATACTAAATTATAGTTTTACTCTTGGATCAAAAACTAATGTTATAAAGAATTTATGTTGATTATTTTTTACCTATATGAAATTGGATATCAATTCCTCAGGTTTTCGCGGCGCACCTGGTGCACCTGCGCCAAACGGAATTGGCCCAAGGGACAGAGGTTTCTATTTTGCTCGTCACTCGCAAACTGAAATGATACCAATCTGTCCAAAGAATACCGTGAAGTTATGGGAAGGATTTTCTTTATTACATACCATGGGTAATGGACGACCATATACTCAAGATCTCGGTAAATAATATGATAACATATGTCTTTCTCTAACTAAATCATGCTGACATGCTACAAAATTTAATAAAAAATAGAATTAACGTAAATTTATTTCATACATATATTTTCTAAAATTAAAACACCAATTTTTCATAATTGTCGTCTTTATAAAATACATATAAAATGTTAATGAAAAAAACAATTTAAAAACAAGAAACACATTAAATAAAGAATGATATATTACAAAAATACGCATGATTCAAACGATAATCTTTTGTCATTTAGGCGCTGCTGGTAGTTGCATCAAAAAGTTCTCTACTATGCCCTTCCTATTCTGCAATTTGAACAACGTATGCGATTACGCCAATCGTAACGACTATAGCTACTGGCTTAGCACAACTGAGCCTATGCCAATGATGATGACGCCAATACCGGCACCGGAAATTGGTAGATACATATCGAGATGCTCCGTGTGCGAAGCACCGACCAGAGTAATGGCTGTCCATAGTCAATCCATGTCGATACCCACGTGTCCGGGCGGCTGGAAGGAAATCTGGGTCGGATACAGTTTCCTCATGGTAAGAAATAAAACTCAGACTATGTTTCAGGATAAACTTTATCTAAGTTGTTAAATTGAATTGCAATTACAAATATAACAAATAATATATGTACGAGTATTTATCCATCAAATTATCTCTTTCTCAAGATTCATCTATTGAATCACATATAAGTTTTTAATAGAGTTAGCAGAAACCATGATTACACGCAATTTTTCGCTTCTCAATTACAGCACAGAGATGCAGGCGCTGACGGCGGTGGTCAATCCCTAGTCTCACCAGGATCCTGTCTGGAGGAGTTCCGCGTCAGACCGTTCATCGAGTGCCGCGGTCTCGGCACCTGTAATTATTTCGCCACCGCAACGTCATATTGGTTGGCGACCATCCGCGATGAGGAGATGTTCCGTAAACCGCTGCAACAGACACTTAAGGCCGACCATACATCCCGAGTGAGCCGCTGCGCCGTGTGTATCCGCCAACGCGTCAGCGAAGATTCTTATGGCAGGACGACGGTCCTGAAACCTTTCACGTCAAACAACGAACGGGCTCCCAACAACGTTCAGTATCCGCCGGCACCACCACCCCGTTATCCGCCCGACTATCAGCCTTTGCCGTCGCCACCCAGTCGTGAAAGGTATCCCAACCACAGGCGCGGACCACCTTATCACTACCGTAGGAGAGGTCGCGTGCGCGGCAGACACGGTGAACGACCGATAGAATCGTCCGATAATCTGTAGATCGGCAACACGAGCACACACGCATCGAGAACAAATAACGACATCAGTGACGTGCAAGGGCATAGCAAGCCTATGTATATAAAGAAGCAAGAGAAACTCTTTTTTTTTTATATTAGTTAAGTTATATCCCGGGCCGGGTGCTTTAGCTCGTAAACCTTAAACCGAGTATAAAGACGAGGATAACGCATATAAATATCCAGGAACCAGCAGTGAAAAGTTCAAGATAACCCGGACGACACGCACGAGTCTGGAAAATATAAAGAAACCTTTCTTATATCTTTCGGTCTATTATCTTATTTAGAAAAGAAACCGTGTCAGTATAAATTTTAGTTCAAGATCGTTGAAGTGTAAAATGAATTTTATAAATTTCTCAGTGTTATCGGTGTATATCCCCAGAAGTTATAATAATTAAATGGGAAGCGTTATTTTTGAAACTCTTGTTGGAACCAAAATCTGGACCGCTTATCTTAAAACATCCTTATCTTGGACTCTTCTCTCGCTCTTGGGAATATGTCGGTGTTACTCGTTCTTATCCTGTGTGCAAGGTTCATGCACCTAGTCTTTTCCTGCCCGATAAAAAGCGCCGTCGGCTGCCGTGAAGCCATATAACTGCCTTTATGCCAAATAGAAAAAAAAATCCGTCGCGTCCGGCCATCGCAAACTGCCAATAACATCACGCTCGCCGACGCGATTCACGTGATTACAGAATATTATAATTAAATTAACGTTATCTGTACGTTGTGTATCGCTATCGTAACTATTATCTTATATATCGCATTGAATAAAGATCTTTTTGTATAATCTAACCGATGTCTTTCCGGAACATTTATCACTCCTTTTCATAAAAATATTGATATATTATAAATGTCACATACCAAAAATGAACAATAAATTAAATGATAAATGAAACATTGTTATAAATTAACAATTTCCTGAATTATCAATTTGTAACTTGAGATTTTGTCTGCTTGATGAAAAAAGCAAAAAAAAAAAAAAAGAAATTGAGCTTGTTGTCTTACTTCTTTTCGTCAACGAGATAAAACGCGATAATCGTTTAAAAAACATAAAACAATGATATCATGTAAAATAAATAAATCTCAATTTTTTAATCAAATTAGTTTCTATACTTTTTGATGATTAAAAAAAAATAATACATTTTTTTTAGACTATCTGTAATCTAGAAATATCACGGTGAATCTCTTCAGCAGGCCTGAAAGCAACATAAACGAAGATAAATAGAGGAAAGGAGGGAATATCTTAAATGTTCGCAAAAGCTATTTAAAAGAGCCAACTGAAAGAAGCAAGAGCGTTGAAATTATTTGACAGTTTAATAAAAGGCGAACGGGCCTTCCAGGACACGCGAAATTCACATACAAGCTCATCGTACGAAATGAACGTACACGGTGAGAGAGATCGCGATATTATATTTATATTTATATTTATAAAATTATTCATCATTAGAAAGCACATATGATCTATCTATATGACGTAATTTGCTACGCACACCCGCGTACGAGCGTGCCTACGAACAACGCACGCATCCACACACACACACACATACACACGCATACACACACTACGCGCGTAAATCACTACGACGTTCTATCTCGCGCACACTGGCATAAGCACGCACACGCGCGGACATACACAAACATGTACGTGCATACTAATCTCGTAATCTTTTTCCTCTGCCTTTCTCACGCTCTTACTCTTATTCATTCTTTCTCCTTTTCTTCCTCTCTCTCTCTCTCTCTCTATTCTTTCTCTCATACGCATAATATACGTATTCACGTTTACAGGCGAGTACATGCCTATGTATGTACGTGTACATATTCAGAGTACCTCACGGATGTGTTTTTTTTACGGAGATTACAACTTTGTAACTGCTTTTAATTGGAAGAAAAAGCAACAGGGGACGAGCAGGCCAAATATTAATGTCATCACAGTATCAACATCATCATTATCATTACCATCATCATATGCCATTTTTTCGTGCCACACGGACGAAACGTTGATTCGTGCTGTACAAAATATCAAAAGGCAACAAAAGCAACAACAACGCGCGCGAACAAAATCATTTCTCTTTCGCTTCTCATTATGTACATTTCAAAAGTGTCCCGATACTAGGGAATACTAATTATTGTAAATAATTCGAAACTCAAATACACGAATCCCTTTTCCTTTCGCGGAGAAAACTTTCAAAATTTAAAAAAAAAACACGAGACGGACGTATAACGATATAAATATAATACACGCCAAATAACGCTAATAATTGCCACACGTACGTCCGTCGAAATCACATTTGGAAATCACGATCGAAACGAAACGGAAAAGAGAAACGTTTCCCCGTTATATCCATCATACTCGCGTATTAAGACAAATTTTCGCCGATGCAAAAAAAAAAATAAAATAAAATAAAATAAAAAAAATAAAAAAAAAATAAAAATGGAAAAAATAAAAATAAAATAAAATAAAAGTCGCCGACGTTTCTCGTTCAATTCGCGTATATACTCGCGAGTCCATCATCACACACATTCAAAAACCTCTAGTAGCGATTTCTTCCAATTTTTAATAGGTGTGGTGAACTTCCTGGAAAAATAAGACACTTGCGTGAGATTTCTTTCATATGTATGTATACACGCGTATACGCACATACACACGCGTAGCGTCGTATTTCTTTTTTTTCTCTCTCTCATTTATATAACAACAGATGTGTGTGTGTCGTTTAGAAGTAATTTAGTGTGCATCTAAGACCCAAAAGAGAATTATTACCGAGCTATGCAAAATAGAAGATCGATTTCCTCTTTTCTTTCTTTCTTTCTTTCTTCGTCTCGCATGTATAGATATATAAATATACGTCAATTTATATATCGATTATATATAAATAATATCCGCTCCTATTATTTATATATAACGCGTACATAAACCCACTATACATATATATACATATACATTTATACAATATATATTTATATTTATATTTATATAAGTCAATTTATATATATAAATAATATCCGCTCCTATTATTTATATATAACGCGTACATAAACCCACTATACATATATATACATATACATTTTATACATTTATATTTATATTTATATTTATATATAAAG